ATTCCTCCCGCCTCGATGCCGACGCTGGCCTCCCCGTGCCTCCCTGCCATCGTCACCGCGTTCCTCCCGCCTCGCCGCCGGATTTGGACTTGGGAGGAGCTCACCGGCCTCCCCGCGCCTCCGCCGGCCGCGCGTGTGGCTCCAGCTTTGCCGCCGCTCCTCCTCTCCGCCGATTCTTCCCCGTCGGCCGTGCCGACCCTCTTCTCCACCGCGTCGGTGACGCCGCCGCATCGGCCCTTCTCTCCGCGTCAGTTATGATGGCCGTAGCCGCGCGCCGCCATCGCCGACCGCACGAGGGGGACGGGGAGGCCGGCGAACTCGCACCGCCCTGAGCCCGCGCACCGCCACCCGGGAGCCGCCGTCGCTAGCCGCACCACCTTTCGGCCGCGCGCGCCGCCGCCTGTGCGAGAGCAAAGAGCGAGAGGAAGGAGAGAAATAGAGAAAGAGAGATAGGGTGCTAACGTGGCTTACTGACATGTGGGGTCCACGTGGGTCCCACGCTGAGTCAGCCGCCACGTGGGACAAAACCAGGGTGAAAACCGCCGAGGGACCTATTGTGACCAGTTTTGTAAGTTGGGGGACGTCGGATGTCCGGTTTTGCGGTTAAGGGACGATTTTGTATATGGCTAACAAGTTGAGGGACCTTGCGTGTACTTTTCCCCTAGCAGAACCCGAGGGATTCATTCACCTACAGAAGTCTAATTGGTATCCTCCAGAGCCCACCATCGGCCTACCTATACACTAAAGTCCATACACATCCTCATTTCAGCCCAGAGCCCTATCATAAAGTCTAAATCACCTCCCTTCCCGAGAGCACTCCCTCCTCGGTTTATAAAACCTTTCAACTTCGGAAATTCATATCTTTTGGACCATAACCCCGATTGACTCCGTCCAACATCCATAATCTCTCTAAATTCGAGATCTATTAAATTGGCACCATTAGTTGTATTGAATGTTGCTTTATTTTATTTCTTTTAGGATTATGCGTGGATATTCTTCGGTTATTTATCAGACGTGTCGGATATTTATCGATCGCGGGTATTCTAACTAATGCGGATATCTCGAAGACATTAGGAACCTATAGCAAGGCAAGTCACTACGCTCCCTTCCTTGAACATATTGATCCTAGATTTATAAATGTTTTGTTTACAAATAAATTGCATGCTATTTATAAAGTGCGTATCTATGCTCGATTATGCCTACATTTGATATTGATTACCTTTATACATGTTGTATACCTTTGATTAGCTGAGTCGTTTATTTATGTGTGGTCATTTATTGACATTGCTTAGCGATGCTATTATAGACATACGTACACTCTATATTTATGCTAGATGATTATGGGTGTGAGATCACTCGATGTGAGTGATTGATGATTTGCGGGTGGAGACATGAGTGCCACCCGCCACACACAAACCTTCTGCGAAAACCAAAACTTAATACAACAAAACCATTTCGACTGGGGCGGCATGAATAGAATATGGGTGGGTCTGGAAACGGTTAGTCGCCGACCCTAGTCAGTTATGGACCGAGTCAGGAAGCTATACGAGAAACGAACAGAGTACGACCGCATTTCTTCAGTGGGTATAGACCAGCGGATTAGGAAGCTCTTGTGGGGCGACACCTCAGTCATGGTTAGTTCTGTATAAGTGTGTTGTGATGAGTGCAGTGTCGGAAAGGTAAAGGCCATGGTATAAACTTAAAATGAACCCTATAACTATATATATAATATAATATCCCCAATTCCCTAGAGCGCCAGGACTCCCCTCACTATCCGGCAGAGGGGTTAGGAGTGCCGGGGCGCAATGGGGGTTCATAGTCCTTGGAGCGGGTGCCGAAATGCGAGAGCGACTGAAAAGCTGTGCCGTGGCAAGTCTTATATGTTGGGACTAGGCTTATGTGTTGGGCAAGCCACGGAGTGCGGGATTAAAAGCGTACATCCACTGCAGTGTGAGTAAATCTATCTATTCGAATAGCTGTGCTCGCGGTTAATGAGCGCCGAGACCTGTACTACTCTTGACTAGACTTATAGATTTTAATACTGCTTAGAGTAGTTATGAGAGACATGTGAACCTCGCCCATAGAGTGGGAAGGTCAGTATAGTAGAGTTAATAAGACGAAATATGAGGGTAAACCGAACTAAGCAGGGCTTGGAGAGGTGGATGAAACCTAAATAATTACAACTTCAACAATAACGTTGTTTTTCAGTTAAAACTGCTATGCCAATAGGCTTGTGAAATGAATCGTGAAAACTAGCCTTATGCAAATAAACTAAGCCATCCTTGAACCCTGTGTGCATTAGATTCATTTTGTAGTGGTGGCTTGCTGAGTACGTAAATCTTTTAGAAAGAAGTTGGCGTCGATTAGATTTATGCCATGCTGCTGTCAAGAACGTGTTGAAGATGATGGATTAGGGACCATAGGTTCACCAGTCGTTGCTTGTGGAGTTCGATGGACCGCCGTTGCTTCGCTTCCGCTGTTCTATCTATTGCTTTGGTATTTTGTATTGTAAGTGATCATGCTTGGTCTATTTCGGGACCCAATAAGGTTACCCTTGTATTATTATTATAGAAACACCGGTAAACGATGTCAGTTATAATATTATACTGTGCTATGTGTGTACCACCTACTGATCCAGGAAGTGGTACTGTATAACACATGGGATTACCGGTGTCCCCACAACCAAGGTCGAGCGTGAGGCGGAAGCTGTCCATGATGGCATCGACGCAGCCAAGCACCAGGCACGGTCCGCCACAGAACGCCTCCACCGCCGCCGCCTCCGATGGCACACGCAGTGCGCCCTCCGGGCCCAACCTGTACTATCCCTGGCAGCCGCTGTAGATCTTCACCCGGCCACCAATGCAGATTGCAGAACGTCAGAAACAGAGTCCGTTTTCTGCTCGAACTCTTTTTTTCTTCTTTTTTTTGGCTGAAATTGTTTCAATTACTGCTCAAGTTTGATTACGAACTGTCGAACTGTCAATGATGTGCTTACACATCGATCGCTGAAGCAGATGATTGGCCTTGGCAACGATGTCTTCAGTGCTTCTTTTTTGACCATGAAACTATGGAAGGTTGTTGCTGCCTCGTCTGCAACGACGATGGCGACATGCACCCAGATGGGGCTAGTGAGCAGCACGATGGGCAGAGCACGACGACGGTGCTGGTGAGCGTGAGCCTGGTCGGGAGCAGGAGGACGGTGAGCGTGAGGAAGCCAACGACCTGGGTGGAGTTGGAAGCCAACGACCTGGGTGGAGTTGGGCCGGGCGCGTGCGTTTGCACCCGCCAGAGCAGTGTCGTAGACGACGAGTCCGCCGCCGCGGGAGCTTACCCATGGCGCTGTGTCGGATGTGCGCGTGCTGCTGCCGATCTACCATTCTCGCGGAGTCGCGGTCGACCTAGGAGGATGGGACCATCGCCGCCGCCACCTCTTCTCTTCCCCCATCTCCCACCATCCACCTCATTTACATGTAGGCCTCATAATCTTTTTGTTTTTTTATTTTGCTGACTCAACGAAAACAGAGACCCAAATTATACGGTTTTATTATATAATAAGGCAAAATTGGTTATATAGTATCGAAAGTTCACGTTTTTTGATTTATAGCACCGAAAGATACCGGTTCACTTTAATAGCACCCAAAGTTCACCCCGTTCCCATTTTTAACACTTCCGTCAATTCTCGATCGTTTTCCGTCCGTCTTATCCTAGCCAGGCACACGATATGGCGTTTCTACCCTCATTGACATGCATTCTACTTGTACTTGTGACGGGTATATAATTAAGGGGTAAAGATTTCTAATATTAGATTAGGGATGTTATACAAAGTCGGCATAAAGTCATTCCTTTTCTGGACTGTGGCTTGTGGGCCACAAAAGTAGCAAGGTCTACTACAACCAACAAAACGAGATTCTGAACAGGCCCGTGACAAGAGCGATGGGCGACACGTGGGTACCGTACGGTCAAGAAAAACTGCTGAAACCTACTACATCCGTCCCAAAATAAGTGCAGCCGTGGATATCCGTGCCGAACGTTTAACCGTCCGTCTTATTTAAAAAATTTGTAAAAAAAATTGAAAATATTTAGTCACACATAAAGTACTATTCATGTTTTATCATCTAATGCGATAAAAATACTAATCATAAAAAAAATTTAAATAAGATGAACGGTCAAACGTTGAACGTAAATAGTGCAAAACTACACTTATTTTGGGACGGTGGGAGTATAAGAGAAATCAGTTGTTTGTCAACTAGAGTCCCTTAAAAAAAATTACTCAAATTAAATCTTAAAATTAGACATGAACAAATTTATGTATCTCACTATAGTTTTAAAGTTTGAACTACATATTTTTTGTAATCGGACCAACTATACTATATGAAAAAAAAAATTGCTTTATTTCAGAGTTCAGGCGCGTTCAGACGCATCGTCCAATTCTAGTTACTGTCTCCATGGCACCACCCCCATAATATAATGAGAAGAGATTAAGGAGCCATGGAGAAGGGGTGGAGGGTACTTGGATTAAGACAATAAAAGAGAGATGATTAATCAAACAAGTATACTATAAACTATTGTACTATTTTGCGAGGAAGAATTTAAAATTTAAATCATTCACTTCCTTATAGTATTTTGGAAACATTGGTTGTCCTAATACTGGCTTAATTAGGAAAAAAATATGATAAACTTCTAGTTACGTACTTAGCGATTTAAAAGCCAAATGCTGAAAAACAAACTTTGTTCAAAAAAAAAGGAATCAGGTTTCAAAATTCAAAATTTTGGCAACGCGGCAAAAGATGGAAAAGCCTTCAACAGCATCACAGCATCAACACCAACATGGATCGGATGGCACCACAGGATGATCTGCAGCTGCTCTGCTTTACGATGATGCACCTTCGAACGACTGCGAGAGGTGCTTTACATTCCATCCCACAGGTCGCTATTAGGTGTGCAAGGGTAACGGAAATAGGTTGATACGATTGCATATGTGTGTAAACTGTGATCGAGCATATGGTGTGCAAGGGTATGATAAATACAGGAGTTTGCATACGTTTTTACAGGCAATGTCTGATAAGCTATTTGCAATCTAGCAGTTCGAAGTGCTTCAAATACGATTAGGAAGGTGGCCTTTGAAGGGGGGCCTCCTGCTTTGGACGCCTGCATGTAAAGAAAAATCTATATTAGGTTAGCATTGCCTGTTGATCAGAGGATGAGCAACTCCCAATCAAAATGGTATCACCCAAAATCATTTTGACAGTTTTAACCAGATGTAAATGGACACTCTTTTAGAGCTTTGTAATGCCAAGGGAATATAAGAATTATGTAGGATAGTGCTAATCCAACATTATTACTATATTGTTACAACAGGAGGTGAGATATAAATAGTCCTTTGCTAAGGAAACAGGAGGTTGGGCCAGAAATTGAAGTATATGAAAAAGAAGGTTGATTTGTTGGTCATGGGTTTTAAACGCAGCCAAGTACAGTATCTGGCAATCTTGGAACTTACAGATTTGCTAAGAATATTGTGTATAAATACTGTTCCTCAACAACTATATTACCTCGCAGAGCAAGAAGGCTCAAGCCCTGGCACATCTGGTGGACCAATTGGATTATAATGACCACTCGGTGGAGCACTCCTATTTTCAAATATTAAAGTCCATTCATAAGTAAAAATGACCTCATGTGTACTAAAATGACAAGATAATAAAAAGAAAAAGTGGATTACCCTGTGCCACTTAAGGGTACATGCAAGGGATTAGAAGGAAAGAAGCTTGGATCATTTGGATCTGTTGTATAAATAAGTGGTAAAACAAGACTGTAGAGATGCAGAAACATAAAAAGAAATATTTTTGAGAGTTCCATGGGTGTCATATTACCAACATGCTGGCTGCTGCCACCACCAATACCACTGCATACAAAAACAGAAACTATTAACTATGTGAGTATGATTTACCTATACTTTAGGTGATTGGAGACGAACCTGTGAGGATCGGGGAAGGCATCATCGTGACCTGTTGGAGTTATAGCAGGAAAATCTATGCCGTAACTGTGTAACACAACAGAAATCACAAGAAAGATCACATCATATAACTATGTTTAGAGTAACTAATGAACTAATATCATGAACCACTCTAATTACTCTAATGAACTACTAACTATGTTAGATTAAATGTACATACACAGCACTACAATTATCAGGTGCATATTGCACCTTTTTTTTACATATGACTAGTGCTTGGAATGAACCTTCATATCCAGCGCACATCGTCACATATGTATCAGTAAGTCACTAATGAATCACAAAGTTTCATGAATGCACTGAACAGACAAGTTCATATATAAGGACCAAGCAAAGGCTTCATTCAGTGAAAACTGGAAATAAGCTTATAGTTGCCAGTGAAACCTGGAAAGTAACCTTATAGTTGTTTTAAGTACATATTATCTCTACTGGCTAGGCCTCAACATGTTGATGCCGAGCTGACATATGAACACTAAACACTTTATTTAATATGCACGAGTGTATTGTTCTCTTGTTATTTCCTTGTTTATGTAGGCGACAATGTTAGTTCAGTATCACAGTAATAACAAGAAATACAAGACATGAAAGAGTAGTATGGCCTTAAAATGACTGCATTAAATTTTGATGGCTCATAAAAAACATTAAAGATAATTTCAGTAATAATCACAGATAAAATCCATCACAATCATTGGCTCATTGCTACCTTCGAATGGCATTCTGTTCACAAAAGACTCGAGCATTCATTATTTGTAGTCTTTACCTCACATATAGCATTGCACTAATGCTTTGCCAACTTATCCAAAATAGTCTAAGAAAATGACACAGCTAGCGGCAACATCAAAATGAATCACCCAACTTGTGGCTACTGCAGCAAATCTATTCCAGAAAACAAAGGATTTACTGTGCCATTTCATTCCTATCTTTATGACCTACTGTTCCAGTGTTCTTCAGAGGTTAATCCATGGGTGTACATGTCATTAATGATTGAGCAAGAGCGGAAATAATATAGTGAGGGCCCGTTTGGCAGGGATCCAACTCTTAAATTTAACTCAGAGTTGGGTTTGGAGTATAGTTGCGGAGCAGCCTGAACCCCACTCCAACTCCAACTCTCTAGTTCATTTTGTGAGAGCACTCCAGCAACTTCACTCCCTTTTTGGGTGGAGCTGAAACTGTTAGGTTGGGCTCCAGCTCTAGGAGAGGTGGAGGTGGAGCTCTGCCAAACTGCCCCTTAAGTTTGATAACAGGTTGTGTAAAGGTAGAGAGAAGAAAGCGCAAGCCCAACAATGAAGAATATACACAAAGAAAGCAAAAGGAGAAATGAGTTTAGCCTTAAGGTCATACCGTTCAGTAGTTTTGAGGTCTTGATTTTCATAGCTGGAACACAAGCGCCTTATGTTAGAAAAACTTTTGGAGAATACCAGTTAATGAACGTAATTAAAGTTTTTTCTTACTTGAGAAGCTTCGACTTTCAATTACATGTTTCACAAGTATTTTCCTTAACTAGCAGAATATTTAGATTTGAACAACTAAAAGAAATATATTGATGATGTTAGATCAATGGAACATATCCTGTGCACATAAGATTTCCGTATACACACCGTGCACACCAACTAACAAATTAGACCAAAAATCCTAGAAAACATTGTACATATGTATTTCCATTAGTGTTACACTTATATGTAAAGTCTTAACTTTAAATTCAATACATTTTAGACGTAACAAATAAGATAAAAACTCTGACAGTTTTAAGAGTAAATCTGCCAGAATTGTCTTTTTTGTTACCCCCTATATATAATGAATTTGAAGTTGAGATTTTACACATATATATAATACGACTTAAAGTTCATGTACATTTTTTTCCAGAATTTTTGTGATATTTGTTAGTTGGTGTGTACACGAAAAAGCCTTGTGTGCATAGGATGTGTTCCCTTAGATCAGCACCAGTCTACCATTTTATTATTTTTAAGACCAAAGCACAATAGTGTGTAGAGTAGTCTAGTAGTATTGAATACGTACCTTTTAGGGAACTCAAGGAGTTCATAGTTCTCCAATATTTCATCAATCCTGCAGAACAAATAATGCAAATATAACAGAGAGCAAGGCAGTTCTTTTTTGAAATCAAACAATTGAGAAGAAGAAAAATACCTACCATCCCAAAACTCTATCATAGATATCCTTGTCATACATGTGGTGGTAATCATCTTTATGCAATATTAGACATTCCACCATTGCAGGTAAAATTTCATCCAAGGAATTTGAATTTACCAGTTCCAAATCAGACAGCCGCAAGAATTGTTGTTTGCCCATATTGTCCTTCAAATGAAATCACTTTTTAGTTAAGAGTGTTTATAGCAGCACTTACGATACCATGATAGAAGTTAATCAAATGGTACACTACAGCAAAAACTATCATATGCATGTGCATTGATAAATACAACAAAAAAGAAAATCAGAGATTAAAACTCACTTTTGAGCCTTTCCAACCATGATGACGAACATGGCGTAAGTAAACCATGCCATCTTCCACTGAATTCTCAAAGGGTTCATACTCTTCACGTTGTTCAGGGCATTCTTCATTTCCACCATCATTCCCAACATAGCCTCCAAGTTCATGACCTTCCTTTTCTGCATTCTCATCTCCTTGTTCATTGGATTCACTTTTTTCCATCTTAGCTCTGTGGTGTTCATATACAACAGTATGAATTGGGGAGACAGAGGATACACTACCATCCTGCTTTTGACATCGGACTCTCCAGTCTTGTCGAAGTGTCACAGAGTTCAGAATTGATTGAAGTAATCTCTTCACTTGGCCAGTTGTTGCTTGATGGGCTGAATAAATATTATCAATTATTTGTAATCTTGTCAAGGACGACTTCAGTGCAGGATGGATGGTGATAAATCTTTGAAACTTTCTTAGCATCGCACTGCCGTACCTCAGATGATCAATGTAATTTCTAAGTGACTTGTCAAGATGCCTAAAAAGGCCTGGCCATTTACCACCTACCTCATACTCTGGAAGAACGTCAGTAGCAACTCTAAGAAAATCATGTGCCTCTGTTTTACATGCCGCTTGATAAGTACATGGCAAATCGATCTTAACATCCAACGAGTCACTGACCATAACATGATCCAAATCCCAATGGCCATTCCAAGATCTACCTCCCTTATGAGACCTTGTTATCATTGTCAACAGATTGGTTAAAATGATTCTCCCAATCTGGGTGGTATCTATCACTGGCAGGAAAAAACCATCACATCTAATATGGCGGGGCTTGGTCAGATGATACCCACGTAGCTTCAGAAATGTCCTCAACGGAATCCATCTGCAAATATAGTACTCTATTATTTATTCCTAATAATGTTAACATCAAGCCATTGTTATTGACCAAATTTAAATGGACTCAAGTAAAATACCTATCCGGTTTGGGCATGTCACATATGCATATTACTGGATTTTCACAATGAAAACCTGGTAAGTTCAAATCATGAATAAATGTGCGCACAGCATTTTCAAGATTCTTCTGAATCCTGCAAAAAATATAGAAATTAAGACACTGACTCTCATATGAAGATGATCTAGGACAAGAAAGTCACCTTGGGTAGCATTGGCACAAGTCATGTGCGAGTTCAGGAGCATAACTCCAAATATGATCGAAATGTATGTGCATCTCAGGAGAGCTCAGGGTCTTCATAGAATCAACAATTGCTCCATAATATGGTATATTGTTCCGCTCGAAGCTGATTAAAAAACAGATCAGATGCTGCTTTGATTTCATAAGCCATAAAACATATTTCCTAAGAATGATAGATTTTTACCTTCTTAAAAAGTCGAGGAACATGTGTTCCAGCTTTTGGTCTTTTCCACTCATGAAATAAGACGCAAAATCTGCTCTCACTGTTCCAGGAGAGGGAGGCCTGGTTTCTAGCTGCGCATTGGTGGGTGATGGCCTTGGCTTAACACTGGAGCTGCTACCATGTTCTCCTGCCATACGGGAATGCCGTACTGGAGGAGGACCTTGGCTTGACTCAAGTGACGAGCTTACGCTCTAGAACAGAGAAAAAAAATGATGAAGGCATTTTGCTAGATCAAATCAACTAGATGAATATATTACATGGTTATAGCAATATGAGTGTTTACAGGTAACATCAAAAAGACCGTGACAATAGAAGTGGCTTTGAACACAGTAGATTTGCCACTAAAATCCTACAATCAAAGGAATGCATATTTCTAGCAACATGCTGAAGTAACATGGCAATTCTACATTTAGAACAACAATGTGCTAAGCATGGGATAGCAGTTAACATTTAAGGCAACAAAAACGTACATGATGCTGGGTTTGCCTGGCACTGTGAGGCTTCTTCTTAAAGCTTTGCTTAGCACCTTCAAAATAATTGCCACTTTTCAACACAGAATGTTGGTCCCTTGAGATTGTGATATCATGAACCAACACACCGCTTTCACCAGGCTAATTATTTTTAAACAAAAAAGGTCAGTAATTAAAAAAATGCACTGCTTAATCAAAGAAAGTGGCAGAATTACTAAGGGCTTACAGAATCAACAGATCGCCAAATATTTTGGTAGTTCCGGAAGCCCACATCTGATTCCAGAACAAAAAATCTTCCATGGTACTGAAAAGAAGAAAATAGAATGAAAACTAGCATACCAAGTTTATTTAAAAAAAGGCAGGTATCACAACTCGTAAATTACAATACCTTGTATACAACGTTGAAGTGCTCGTTTTGAAAGAAAATGAACAACTTCCTATCAGGAGTTGCTGCTTTCAAAGTGTGTAAACTGTGATTTTAAAAAAAAATGTCAATAGAAGAAACAAAATGACAATTGTATTTACCTATAGCTAGCATGCATACCCAAACTCTGTGACTTGTCCAGGATTATCTTTCAAGAACGTGTGAATCAACTCATCTACAAATAAACAATTTAAAAACAGAGCATTAGCGATCAAAGAAAGAAACATATTTGCATCCGTAAATAGTTGACAGGTGAAAAATGTAAGATCGTTACATCTTCTAGTTTCAGCAGCATCTATCATAAAATCAGCATCTTTCTTTGAGTTGTATTTAGCCCTATCGATATTCAGCTGATTGTATGAACGTCCATCAACTGCATTCAATAAAATGGTGTCTTCCTGTTCACAAACATACCACAGAAGAAAAAATTAGGAAAAACCCAAGAAAAAAAATATTAACATGACTACAACACTAAATTAATCCATGTAATAAGTAGCCATGGTTCAATCATACTAAAAGACATCTCCCAGTAGCATACCTGATTGTTCATGTCTAGTACCCAGGCATGATATAAAGGGATATCCAGGATTCTAAAAAGCCCATACTGAGGGGTGTCCTCAAACCCGTCGACACTGCGCATACCAATTACACATCAAAATATACAAATGGAGGCTATATTATTGCTTAAGAACTCGCTTAACCACAAACCTTGTGCAATAAATATCAATATCTAGTCCTGTAGCCGTTTGTTCCACCGTTGCCTGTGCAGTTTTATAGCTGTCATCCTACACATTGCAATGTGATTAATAATCTTCAATTAAAAAAATGGAATATATTGTTTTGATAAGTGGATCAGATCGAACCTTCATTTTGCTGAAAACTTGACTAAACACACGGTCAACTAAATAATCAAGGTAAACAATTGTCATGGATGGTGGCAAGGAGAGTTTCCTGGTAAGGATTAGATAATTGCCTGCAAAACAGAGTAGTTAAGCTACATGGGACAGTTTATCAGCGGGTATAGTATAAACAACAAACAAAATCTCACATATGGCTATCAAGGAGCAGGGTCCATTCTTGGACTGGAGGATGATCTTATACCCCCGGCCCAGAAAGGATATGAGTTTTGTTTCACAAAAATCTCTGGGCACACGAGGCACTTGCGGTGGAGGCAAAGTGCTCTCCCCTCCTTCATCCTTCTGTACACACTCCTCTTCGGTCTCCTCCTCCTCGCCCTCCTCGTCCTCCTCATCACCCTCCTCTGCGGAGTCACCAGCGGTCTCCTCCTCCTCGCCCTCCTCGTCCTCCTCATCACCCTCCTCTGCGGAGTCACCAGCGGTAGAGAAGGCCAGCGAGCGGTCAACCTCGAAGAGCTGCGAAGCTAGCCGGCCGAACAACTGCGGGCCGGCCAACATCCGGCTGACGGACACCTGACCGATCGGCTTGAAGGCCTGACCGGTGCTCAGCCTCTGACCTATGTCGCGGAAGGGAGTGATCAGAAGCCGCGGCGGTACCCGCTGCCGACCGGGCGGAGGATCTCCCCGCGGTGGAACCTGCCGCTGCCGACCGGGCGGAGGATCTCCCCGCGGTGGAACCTGCCCCTGCCGATCGGGCGGAGGATCTCGCCGCGGATAGTTGGATCCCATCGTAGAGAAGGTCTTCTAGGGGAGCGGTGGGAACTGAGGCTCCACCCTCGCCGTCAACCTCGACGCAAGCGCGCGCCGACGCTCCCCCGTCCGACCGAGCGGAGGACCTCGCCGCGACCGATCTTGGCGGCGGATCTCGCGGATGTTTTTTTTTTCTTTTTCTTTTTTTTCGAGAGGAACTCGCATGAACCCTAAACCCTAGGAGGCGGCGGCGGCGGCGGCGTTTGGTTTGAATGGTGGAGTTGGCTCGAGTGGAATGGCATGACCTAGTAGGGTAGTAGGTGCGAGGAGGCGACTGCAGTCTACTGAAGTCGGCCTGTGGGCTGTGGTCCGAACGGACCAAGACGGCCCGCGTCTTGGACTACGGAGTGTTCAGTTGCGCTGCAAGTTTTACAGGATTTTTTTATTATTGTTTTTCTAAAGATTTATAAAAACTACTCTAATATAAATTATCGTTCCAAAGTTTTGCAAAAATACTCTCCTTCGGCATATAAATCACCCTACAATAAGACCATCTATGTGACGTGGCACCCCGTAGAAGGGGCACATCGCGACAATTTTGCAGGCCTCCCGTTGGGCGATTTATCGTCGGGAGGGGCCACCTGCAAAATTGTGAAACTTTGAAATGATTTTTTTTACAATAGGGTGGGAGGAGTATATTTCTATAAAACTTCAAAATGAAATAAATATAAATATTAAAAAAATGTTTTACAAAGAGTAAATTTTACCTAGCCTCATGTATTATTATACTTTAAGTTACACAAGACCACACTATTGATCATTTCGACTTTTATTTATCACAGTTTTGAATTCTACAATAACATCTCAAATTTATGTGTTCTTTATTCATCATATAAATGATCTACATCCATGTAACTATAGCCTTTTAAAATTTTGATATGTGAATATGTCAAACTGATTAGTGACGTGGTTTTATGGAACTTGGACCATTAATATCTTAAGTTATATGTCACGTGCCAAATTTTATGTGGTTTTGTGCAACTTTGACCATTATAGGTGAGGCTTTGTAAAATTTACTCTTTTACAATCTAGCCTTCTAAGAAAAACTTACTCCGTATTTCATGAAAATACCATTAGCAAGACTTATTTCTGGAAATGTGTTGATACCTCGGTGCCAACGTTGGTATCTTTTACATTAGATGATACCCCACACGCTGCTACGGGTTTATTATAATAATTTAAAATACACATATTAGTATGATCTATTAAAATACTAAGCTGCATAAATGTTATAATTTGAACACAAAAGCGGTAGGAACACGCTGCTACGGGTTTATTATAACAACTAGTTGGGTGCCCGCGCAATTGCGCGGCTAGCACCCATACAAAAGTAAATATTTTTATATGATTTTACTTAAAATTTATTAAATATTTGTCTCGTTGTCTTAAGACTTTGAAAGACCAAACCTTATCATCCATGTGTTTCTAATTTTATAATTTTTAAAAGTCACACCAGTTGCTACCCCTTACTTCTGTCATATCATTTTTTATTTGCTTGCTTGATCTACCATTATTTATATTTCTTTCTCCTTGAAACCTTTACAAATTGGATCTTATAGCTTTTAGAGTTTATTGTCCAGTTGGGTCCTCTATGGTCCGCCCGCTACCCCTTATTTTTATTGCCAATAGGATTTTAACAATCAAACAAAATTATTATTGGGGTTCTTTTTCTTTACTTTCTAGAAGTTCGGTCAAACAGTCATCAGCTCCACCACTGTGATCCTCTATGGCCCACCCGCTAACTCCCCTCGATTTTAAAAATCGAACGTAATTATCATTGGGGTTTACTTTTTTACTTTTTAAAAGTCCAGCCAACTGTAGTGACCGTGCTATTTAAGTATTTAACGGCATGCTCGTCGTCCCTCATCTTAATTGTCATTGGATTTCTATTTGAGATTTTGTTTATAGTTTTTATATGTCTCATCATGCATCATCACCCTACTCCTCTATTAACTTATTGTTTTTCCCTCTTTATTATCATTTATCATTGTTGTGTTCTATATGGACCTTTTTTTTAAAGAAAAATCATATTTTTCATTCCGATGTTCTGTTATTTATAAATTTTATTCATACTTGCACTCTTATATAATTATTTTATATTTTCAAATTTTATTTTATTTTTATTTTGATTTTTAATTTATCTCGTGATGGGTTCTAGATGATCTTTTCTTTCAACAATCTTTTCTTTAATTTCGAATTTTAGTTATTTATAAATTATATTCCTATTTGTACTCTTCTTTTTCTTTTTTAATTGTGAAATTTATTTTATTTTCTATTAATCTCATACTGTGTCTATATGAATTATTCTTCTAATATTTTTTATTTTTTATTCCTAATTTCAGTTGTTTGTAAAACGTATTTTTACTTGAACTCTTTTATTTGATTTTTCTAATTTCTAAATTTATTTTATTTTTTATTATGGATTTTAATTAATCTTTAATTGTGTTCGGCATGAACTCTTCTTTCATTTTTTATTGTGTTATTTCAAAATCAAATAAAAAATCCGTGCACATGCCGTCATGCTTTTCTGGTTGCTGACGTGCATCACCCAAATCCGGCTCATTGTGCAGCCGCACGGCTTGACCCGCTGCTTCGGATTTCCGTCGCTCGTTGCTAGCATCTATCTTCATATCAACAAAAACGCATCCAAATTACGGTTCTACAGTGGTTCGTTGTCTGCTACTTCATTAATATATATATATGTATTATAGCCTAATTTGTCTAGAACCTAACTCTGGTTAATTGGTTTAGGAAATCGGACAAAACTCTTTTGAGACCGTTTGCATGTAAAGGTCCTAGCTAGAGATTGATTCTAATTCTGCACGCGTATAATAAGATAGATAGATTGATAGATTTCAAATACACATATTGAACACGCTGCTACGGGTTTAGTATATATGAACGATCTTCTTGGCAAAGATGATCGTTTTGATTGGAGGATGACGTAAGATATAATGTACATAGCTGAAGATATAAATGTCAACTGTTCATAGGACGATGGTGTAAAAGGAGACAACCTGGACGAAAGCAACAAGCAAAAAACTTCAAAGAAATTATACCGCTTGCTCAAATGTGTTCACTCTTTTATTTTTCTTCGGTGGATATCCTTACTGACACGTGTGAATAATTATATGAACTGTTCAAAGGAGAGGATGGTGTAAAATGAGGCAAACCTGGATATGAAAACGACAAACAAAAGTTAGAGGTAGCCGTCTGAATGTGCTAGCTCTTTATTGTTCTTTCGTGGAACTCCTCGCTTTTACCTATTTACGATAAATCTGATGATGTTTTGAGTGGGAGGGACAATGGAAGGAACCAGAACTCCTTTTCCGGGTCGGCCAAATATTGGCAGGCCAATCTCATTATGATTGGAGGAAATAAAGTTTTAATTATAACTATATGAAGGATATCGCGCTGGTCTCAAACAAACTTAAAGACGGTAAGGAAATAGAAAACAATGTGGCAAGCCCCGCCTCTGATTGGGATTACTCGCCAGGCTGGGAAAAGATCCCTGCTGCCCTCCAAACTACGATTTCCTTATTGATGCCGTTTGCTAGCAAATCAACCGACTTGGCGATGTGCTGAAAGATCCTAACATTCCGCTCTCTCCAAATAAGCCAACAAATGAGCATGAACAAACTATCGAAATCTGTCCTGTAGCCGTTCTGAAAATGCCGTCTTGTCGCGATCCAAGTGGCCTGCCATCCTCCGCAGGAATTGCAATGTTAATGTTGCACCAAAGTCTTAGCTTACACCAGAAACCAGAAAATTGGGCTGCTAGCTTAGCTCAATTTTGTTTACTCTTTTATGTTACTCATGGAACTGCTCACTAACGCTCAATTTTATGTTAGCATGTTAGCTGTAAATAAGTTCTTAACTACCTCTAATGAGTATGATGAAAAAATACTATTGCTGAGTAATTTTCATCCAACAACATAGCATAGCATGTGCGTTGAGGAATGAGGTGGTAATGGATAATCCCATCCCATTCCTCAAACCAAACAACTCATCAAGAATCAAGTGATGAATTAAATTCATTATCTCACTCAAACTAAATGCTAGGCCGACATTCCAAAAAAATGACTTTTGTGTTGAACTCAAAGCAAACAATCACTGGCAATGTGCCCAAATACTCGACAATTGCCGAGTACACAGCGGATGCAAAGGTAAGTCAAGATACATAAATAACTCACATTGCATCTCCTTGAATCTCCTTCTTCCTGACATCAAGGGCGATCATCACTCCTCCCATATCACAATCCCTGTTGGCAGAATTGCACAAGAGGTAAACAACATCGTCGTCGTCGATGCTCAAGGCGGGGTAAGACATAGCCAGGCATCCTAGGGACAAGCTGGACCCTTTGGCTTCCTCATCATCGCTGGTGCTGAGCATGAGCTTATTCAGCAACCCATGATGGGCTGTGTTGTCGACGACATGGAAATCATGCAAGTTAGCTGTGCAGTCAGGGCGCCAGTCCTCCCATGAAGTGACCGGGATAGGCATGGTCCATGTAGTGAGCCACTGGCCAGGCCGCCGGACGGAGGAGCGCTGCCGTGTCGTCGGCTGAGGCTGAGGTTCTCTGCTCCGGCGAACCCATTCGAGGAACGAATCAGGAGGATCATCTGCAGGCATGGTGCGATCACCGGAGGATATTATGGTTTTGGTCACAACTCTTGGCATGGTGATTTCCATCTCGACGTACTTGATGAAGTCCTTGTGTTGGCTGACGGTGATGTCCCGATAGAAGGACTCGCTGTCACTGAGGTATCTTGTCCAGTTGCCCTTGGCCGGCCATGGCAGCGGCATGTCGCGGAGCTTTGGGGGAGACATTTCGTCGAGCAGGTCGCAGAGGAGGATGCCACGCCAGAGATCGACCCAGCCGACGGTGCCCTTCGCGCCTCCGAGCACGATGGTCTTGGTGGTGATGTGGTACACGGGCCTCTCATCTGAGTCAGGGATCGGGCACACCCTGTCCCTCACCGCCTCCTCCACAAACACCTCCTCGCACGTCCAATTTCCGGCGATCTCATCACCATCGCCACCACCAGAAGAAGATTTGTACCGGTGCAGCGCGAATTGACTGGGCAGGTTGATCATCTCGAGGGCGGCAACGACGTACTGCTGCTTGTCGCCGCAGATGCTAACGATGGCGAAATCGTCGTCGCGTAAGCAATATTGCTGGCACGGCCTGGGGAGCAGATCTAGCCTGGCGGGTTGATGGTGATGGTAGACGAAGTAGTCGTCCTGACGGAAGAGACTCTTGCCGCCGGGCACGGGGTTGACGGGGACTCTGAGGAGGAGCAAGCCGTCGGCGACGGCGATGACTTTGGGCGCCAGGAGCAGATCGCCATGGGCGGCGGGCGGCAGATCGGAGCCGTGGGCGGAGAAGTGGGAGAGCGCGGGAGGGGCCTCGTTCCAGAATGTCATCTCGATGGGACGCCCGTTGCTTGTTCTGGAGGTGGCCGTGCTGCCTCCCTCCTTCTCGCGGTGGCCGCTGTCGTAGCCTCGGACGCCCACCAGGACGGTGCCGCCTTCACCGGCGCCGGCGCCGGCCATGGCGTTCGATCGATCCATCCAAAATATTCCAGGCCAATCTCCGAGAAAGGGTACGTAGAAGGGCTCGACGACGCATTATGCTGGGCTGTATTTGGGCCCAATTGAACCAATCCACTAAGGCCCAGTGGCCCACAGTAGAAGAGAGGATATGCCAACTTGCCAAGACCAGCTCCAAGTTGTAATAACATATAGACAAAATGCTGATCAAGTCCACCAAGTCTGTTGTTTATTACTGTTCAAACAAAATGTCGTTCATTACTTTTTCTGTTCTAAAATGTTGCTACATGATACATGATTGCGCGTCACTTTCTAATACAACAAATCTGTATAAGTGCATGTGCAATCGTGTATAGAGTTAGTATTATTAGAAAAATAGAGAATAAAACATCAACCCTTATTATACTGAGAGTAAAGTTTAAAAATCAATCAATTGGACAATAGTTAATTATTTTGTTTACCAGTTGAATCACCAGCTTGTAGGGAACAATTCGTTGAACAAATCAACCCACCCAAATCAAACGAACAAAGTCTCTAAATTTTCTCCGGAAAAAAACAAAACCATCAAGCTCAAAAAATAATAATACAATAATGGAAGACGACGAGGAGGACGGCGAGAGTCAACCCCCACGCCGGCCATTGGCTCCGCCCCGCGCCGCTGGCGGCCGGCGGATGCAAGGGGACGCCGCTGGGCGGCGGGCTCCCTCGCCGCCGCCGCCGCCACCGGCGGCGGCGGCGGCGACTTTGACGGCGAGCCTCATCCCTCCGAGGCAGTGGCCGGGGAAGTCGCAGATGAACCAGTAGGTGGCGTTAGGCTCCGTGAGCTGCACCCTGTCGTAGCCGGTGTCGTAGCTCTTGATCACGCCGGCGACGCCGCCGCCGCCGGTGTCGCACGACCGGTAGGTGGCCTCCGTCACCTGGAGCACGTTGTGCTGGCTCCTCACGTACTGGAACACTGGCGCAAACACAAACATTAGTAGCTAGTAGGATATATATCGTCGTCAAAATCCAATCCAAATCCAAGAAACGAATTGATCGAAACCTAGGATGTCGCCGGCGAGGAAGGCGTGCTTGTCGGACCAGGTGGCGTAGTTGGTGCCGGTGTCCCAGGGGCCATCGCCGACGGTGTACTCGGCCGCGGTGGCGGATCGGAGGAGCAGAGAGAGGAGGAGCAGGGCGACGAGCTGCAGCGGCGGCGACGGTGGCATCCTGTCGAACAGAGGCGAGGGTGCAGGGCAGAGATGGAGAAGAGATTAATCACTGGAATTAATATGGTTCAGTGGACATATATTAGCTTGTTTGTTACGACTAGCTTAATTAGCTTTGTGGTGGATGTTATTGTGTTGTGATTGAAGTTTTGGAAAGCTAATTAAAGAAGGTTGCTGATGGCGACCGGCACAGCAATATGCATGCGTGCGCGGAAAAGGTAGATTTTTTTTTCTTTTTGACCAAGTCAAGCTTATATATGTCATCAATGATTAGAGCAATGTCAATGATATAGCAGGGTACTTAGCGGCAATATTTGGTTATTTCACATATACTCCCTCCATCAAAAAAAAACCCAGAGTCCAGGTTTAAACCTAGAATTGGGTTTTTTTTTTACGGAGGGAGTAGCCACTAAGAGAGAAAGTATATGCAGTAAATTAGCTGTTACATTAGCTATATGAAATAGAAAATCAATTAATTCATGCATAGGTATCAAGCTCATCCTTGTAGCTACCTATGTTATATGCAATTATATAAGCTGTGGTGATTTTATTTGCAGAATACACCATTGATGATGGATAAGGTTTTTGTTTTTTTGAACAATCAGTGGTATGATTTATTGATTAAAGTAGGAAATAATTACGAGGATAGAGTCTTCAAAGGCAATACTTCGTCCGTTTCACAATGTAAGTCATTCTAGCATTTCCCACATTCATATCGATGTCAACGAATCTAGATAGATATATATGTCTAGATTCAGTAACATGCATATTAATGTGGAAAATGTTAGAATGACCTATATTGTGAAACGGAGGGAGTAGCTAGGAAAGAAGAAAAAATTCCACCATCACACATCGACGTCACCTATATACAGCTAAGAAGAAGGTTTAGCACCGGTCCGACTGTCGCTAAACGTGACCAACAGACGAAATAGAAGTATAGAACTGAGCTAATCGAAGCAAGCAATTTAAAAATTAGATTCATTTGAATTCTTATATATATACTTTTTTTTATTAAAAAAGCTTTTAAAACTAAACTATTTTAATACAAGTAGTTCAGAAAACATGCTCACCGTAAACTAAGTAATTGCAAAAGCAAAAGATGTACTAATAAAGCCTACTGATCATTTGTTCACATGTTTGGGCCTCATCGTTTGCCCTAAAGCTTATAAGCCAAAGCCAAAATTTGAATTTAAAAACTTAAATTTGAATTTGATTCTTTTTCAACATAGTTTTTTTTTCAACTTTGGCTTTTCAATCACTAAGAACATATATACAAAAGTTTTACTCACATATTATTTTTTAATCGCAAATAAGCCCGTTATGACTTATAATAAGCGAGACTAACCGATGGGGGCCTTTGTTTATCTGTCCATCTCCATCTATAAATATGTAGAGTTGATCCATTCGAAGGTTCTCCTGCACATGCGTTTCATTTCGACTTTGAAGCCGTCTTCCATCCTTCCCCTTAATCATGGGTTTTTCTTTGATTTTCCTAAAAGGGATAGATTGATTGATGACGTGGCGACGATTTGGTCCAGGTAGACGCCCGCCATTCAGCCAGTCAGCCAGCCACGTGATTATAATCTGGACACACGTATGTGATGCGGTACGGGATTACGCTGAACGTGCGGGCCATACATATCAAGATGGGCTGGAAGTGTACTGGGCTGGTAGTGCGGCATAATATTTTCTGGCCCAGATCGGAAATAGCAACGAGTGTGCGGCATATAGTATTATTTGGGCCGTAACGGCATTTCAGTAGAATTTGGCCCATTAGTCCGTGGGTGGTGGGCCTTGTTGACCAGGAGCAGGGAGGGTCGGGATCAAAGGCCCATCAATCCATTACGGCCCATGCCGAGCAAGTTAGTGCTTGTAAAAGGTACTCCCAGATCAAAAACAATTATGAGTTGATGCATGCTTGGCACGTAACGACATACTGATGAAATACTACTCCTCTCGTCGCAAAAATAAAAGCTTACAACCGAATGAATCATTTAATAGCCTGTCTAGATTTATAGTAATAAAAAATATTACATTCAGTTCTTATACCTATATTGTGAGCGGCAAAAAATTACCGCAGGGTTACGTGAGCTTGCGGTGCTTGCCATCGGAGCTAGCTGGATCATGCAAAGACTATGTATGTGTGGATCGTGGATACAGTACCGATCGTCTGGCTTATTAGTAAAGCCAATGCTATATCTCAAAATAAATAAATTTAAAATTTTAAAATTTGACTTTTTCTTTAGCTTATTAGACCATGGGAGCCTACATGCATATATGTCGTACGTAGCTAATTAATGCAACGCACTACGTACAGTCGTCGGCCGATCGATATCAACCATATGCATGCATATGGGTTATCTAACACGTAGAATTAATATCTTAATTACGGGATCAAATCGATATCGGATCGGATATTGCATATGCGTACTGACGCGGCATGAATGTGAATTAATAATGGATAAATATTTCAAATTACATGCGGCAACGGCAAGCGATCGATCGATCGATCTGCTACGTCGATCTCATGCGTATCGAGATCGATCGAGATCCAGCTAGCTATAGCAATTGCCGACGCGTCCAAGCTTAATTAACTTTACCTGATCGATGGATGACGACCTCGCTTAGCAAGCGGCGCGTGAAATTAATTTTAACTACGCGCATAGTATCTGTGTACGTACGTACGTACAACTAATACGTATATATAGCTCCTAGCAGCGAGAGCAGCAAAGTCTCCTCCCGCAAAATTCCAAGTGTTCGATCCACCGTGCTCCACCTTGGCTAGCTAGCTGCCATTCCGTCCCATAAAAAGCAAATTCTAGCTATAAATCTGGACACGCATATATATATATATATATATATATATATATATATATATATATATATATATATATATATATATATATATATAGTTAGGATTAATTTTTTTTACGGATGTATTAAAGAAAAGAAAAGGATATATAAAAGACTATGTCAATTGTAATGTTTCCCATATTCCTATTAATTAATATATATAAATATTATATCGATATTCTTGTGGTTTTAATTTGTGCTATAAAATAAAGTGGTCAACTATAGTTGTTTATTAGAGCCATAATAGCATATAACTATTGTAAGAATGGATACAATTAATTACTTTTAATCTTAAATTTATGCGATGAGTTTAAGCTATATAATATTAGAAAACCCCTGCAATTTATCCATAAACTTAGTCAAATTTAGAGCAGTTTAACTTTGATCAAAGTAAAAACATATTATAACCTGAAACAGTGGGAGTATGCATAACATGAAAACAATTCACTAAACTAGGGAGATAGCTACAACACGTAACATGATAAGCATGAAACTCGCTTGCCACGGATATATAATTACTCCATCTCCTTTAACTTGATTACAGCCGCAACAAAGGAGCATTTTATAACGCCATGTTTTGCGTCCACTTAATATATATGTCTCTGGTTAAACACACGGCGGTTTTTTCCCCAAAATAAGCATAACGAGAGAAATAAGGCAATCTCACTCAATTTCCTGCACATTTCTATGTTGAATCATTAGTCGCCATTGATTACATGTCAAGCTCAACATATATTTGATGTTATGTTACTCAAACACTACACACCACAGTTACATGCCAACAAAATAATAAAGAAGATATATAGCCACATATCTGTGGTGCAAATTGTAAGGTTGTGTGCATATTGCTATTGCTCGATGGATCGCTTTCGTGTTCCTTGTGATGTGTTGCTTTATCTTTTCTCCTTTCCAGTGTGTGCCAGAAAGAGGACACCTTTCTCTTCTTGGCTTTTGGATCTTGTTTCTTGCCTTGCAAGAGCTAGCTTCCCCTAATAATCTCTCTCTCTCTCTCTCTCTCTCCATTGCTAGCTATATAGCTACATTCCTGGGTCGATCCCTATATAAGAGGAGAGGCATGAACTCAAATGAAATTTCCAATAAGCTCCACATGTCGTGAGAGCAGAGCACCGGCCGGTTGATCGAGATAACACAGTTGGAGAGTTTTTTCTCCTTTTCTTTTTTTCTGTTTAATTCATCCGGCGAGTCAGATGAGGTCTTCGTCGTCACCTTCGTTGGCTAAATCCATATTTAGCCTCGGAACTCGTAAGTAGACACTTGCTATACATGTATAGCATCTTTGAATTCAACAGTTTTATACTGGAAGCTTATTATAAAATTCTGCCAATGTTTAAACTTTTTTTAAGTAGCAACATGCATGCATGACCTCATAATAAAATCCATATTTGTCAGCTCTTGTGTGTTTCGGTTTTGTTCAGTTTGCGCAAATCGTTTTGAAAGATCAAACTACCTACAATGTTCCACTCGCCTTAATTCATACTCGTTAACTAATCCCTACATTTGCATCAGAACAAAAGTTATGGTAGGCAAGCCTGCAGCTAGCTAGAATCAAAACTTTAATCAAGAAGCACACACACAATTATTCACTTAAAATAACTATGGTGGGTAAGCCAATTAGTCCTGTGTAATTTAGATTATTGAGTAGGTTGTTGCTACGGATTATTCACTTGATTATATATAAAAAGTATAAAAATTTTGAGATACAAACTTAGCAAATAACTTAATACAATTGGTATGAGCAATACAACAGAGATTTTTTTTCTTTTCTTCAGAAATGTATTTTCTGAAGCGTAGAGCAAATAATCTGTTTCAATAATCGGACAAATAATCTGAAAACTAAACAGGGTACATTTAGGCCGGTTAACCGACCTACAAATGCATGCTTTTCCTCAAGTTTCATCTGCTAGCTAAGCTATAGCCAATAGCTTGTACACGTTGCACACTAGAGAGTCAATGGTAGTGTAGCTAAATTGCACACTTGCATCACAAGCAACAGCAAGCTATAGAGATAGCTGTGCTCCCAAAGAGACTCATCTCCATTTCTTGACGCTTTCGCGCTCTCATGCTTGCTCTTCCGCGTTGTTTGCCGCCTTAATTTAATTAATTTGCTGCTTTAACTAACTACTAATAACTTACTAACTTGGTCGTCGTCTTCCTCATCTTCGCGCCAATGCTGCAGAGGGAGCCATGATCGAGAGAAGCAACTCCACCCCTTCCGCCACTCCGGCGAGGCCACCGCTCGCCGTCGACGAGGAGTACAACCAGGCCTTCCGCTCCAAGTCCTTCCTCGACCTATGGTCTCACGCCCACCACCACCTCACCCACACCTTCTCCTCCTTCAAGCTCTCCACCTCCACCCCCTGCGCCGGCCGCGGCGGTGCCAGGGAGGACGACTTCTTGCACGCCGGCGGTGATGGCGGCGCGGCGGATGACTCGGAGCAGTCGTGCTCTTATACTGTTCTTGACGACTTCGTCCTCGAGCCGAGCCCGGAGTCGCTTGCTCGGGGTGCTCGTCTCCAGCAACGGCGGCGGCGGCGGCCGCGGCGTCACCGCGTGGAGACGCTGCTGATTGAGTATTTTGATGTGACGGAGGAGGCGTGCGAGGCTTGCTCCGCGCTGCTCGCCGCCATCGGCGCCGCGCGGCGGCATCACCTCACGCTCCGACGGCTGCTGCTCCGGCTCGACGGGGGAGACGACGACGACGCCAAGGATGCCCTCGCGCGCCATGTCCGCCTCGACAACCCGCTCTCCCCGGGCAGCCTCTCGGAGTTCCACGACGTGCACGCCCGGTGCTCTCCGCTGGCGTCGCCCGACGCTGCCGCGAGGGACGGCCACCGCCGGATCCGGGCGGGGGATGGCTTGACGAGCCCGTAGTAGGCCGTCGTCGTCCACCCGCCGCTGCCCCGCCGCTCCCTTATGCCGTCGACAACCACAACCTCCTCCTCACAAGATCCCACCGGTGCCGTCACTGATTCATGGCCGGAGTAGGGAAGGGAGCCCTTGTCCGAGCCGCCTCCAGTGACCGATGGGAGCGCCGTCGTCGCCCGCCGCTAGCGCAAGATGTCGCCATCGCCCGTCGCCGAAGGAAGCAGGAGGAAGCCCGAAACCGCGCCCGCCGCCGCTCGGCGGTGGAGGAGGTGGAGCCGCCGCGCCTCCCGCCCGCCGACGCCGCGCCCGCAGTCGCTCGTCGCCCCGAGCCGCCGCCACCGCTTCTTCTCGCCGCACGAGAAACTGCCGGATCCGTAAAATGTGGAGAGGGAGTCAGGGAGAGGAAAGTGGCTGGACGGTTTCTAATATATATAGCTATAGCATGTAGATTCGATAGTAAACAATTTACTAGTAAATTTGGGAGGGGTAGGGGGCGCCGGTGGTTGAGGTGCACGGGGGTGGGTTGGGAGGGGTGGGGGTAGGTCGGTAGGATGTGAGTATAGATGGCCATCTGGGCCGCCCGGCACGGCACGGCCCAAGCCCGGCCATGCCTGGGCCGAGGCTTGTCGGGCCGGCACGGCCCGACCGATGCACCGGGCCGTGCCGTGCCAGCCCACGGGCGGCATACTCGGCCCAGGCACGGCCCAATACTAGTCGGGCCGTGCCGGGCCGGCCCGAAGGCACGATGGGCTATTGTGCTGCCTCACATAAAGAGTTTATATTTGGTCCCTCAATTCCGTGGGCTGTGTTTAAATGGCTGGAAATAAGTCTATTTTTATCCCTCAACTCTGTGGCTGTGTTTAAATGGCTGGAAATAAGTCTATTTTTGATCCCTCAGCTCTGTGGGTTGTGTTTAAATGGCTGGAAATAAGTCTATTTTGTATACCTATTTTCTTGGGCCATGCCATATACGATTATATAAGTCTATTTTTTGTCCCTACATTTTTTTTATTTGATCGGGCCGTGCCGGGCCGGCCCACCGTGCCGAGGGTGCAGCCCAGGCATGGCCCGGCTGTCGGGCCGGGCCGGCACGGGCACGACCCTAGTCGGGCCGGGCCGTGCTTGGGCCGGGCCAAAATTGCGGGCTTCGTGCCGGGCCGTGGGCCTCGGGCCATATGGCCATCTATAGATGTGAGGGGGAGCATGTATATATATATATATATATATATATATATATATATATATATATATATATATGTAAAATTGATCTGGAATGTGGCGGTTACATGGGCCTGAACTGATGTGAGGAGAAAATTTGTTCTACTTGCTAGGACATGATATGATCTGGACATGAAAACGGAAAACGTGGAGCAATTTGGGAGGGGGCGATATGGAGGAATCGGACCGGAAAATCGTAAAAAAATACGCACAGGGAGGAAATGAAATTGGACTGCGCAGCGCATTATACTGGGACAACGTACAAAAATACTTGGCAAAAGCATCTTAAACATTTATGATAGGTAAAGATCTACATATTTCAATAAAAAAAAGTCCTACCTAAAATTTAAAACTAACTCAAAATTTGAAAACTTTGAACTCTCAACGTGAAATTTGAACTTTCAACTCGAATTTTGAAACTTTCAACCTGATTTTAAAAACTTTCAACTTGAATTATGAAAACTTTCAACTGGGAATTTAAAAACTTTTAACGCGATTAAAAAAATTTCTAACTCAAACTTCTAAAACTTTCAACTCGAATTATGGAAAATTTCAACTGAAAATTCATGATCTTTCAACTATTTTTTAAAACTGTGAACTATCCTTAAAAAAAATAATTATTGATGTATTTTTTTAAAAAAAAATATTACTCCAGTACATATTACCATTAGCGCTAATTAGGTCATTTGCGGACTAATCACCCCGGGTGCGGGCATCCCAAATAAAAGCCTTCGCTCCACCCGTCTACGTCTGTTTGTTGTATTCCCCTTCCTTACCCCCAAAATCGAAATCCCTAATTCGACGCCATGGCCGCGACTGGCGGCGCCGCCGGGGAGAAGACGGCCAGCAGCCTCCTGCTCGGCGTCCGGGGCTACACGTCCACCCTCAAGAACGCCTCCACCGCCAGCTGCAGGTTGAGCGCCGGCCATCCCATCGAGGTGACTTTGTGGGAGGCGTCCCCGCCTGCCCTCTCCCACTTCTCCGTCCACTGCCCCGATCTCCCATCCTTCAATGGCAATCTGCTTGGCGCGCCTAAAGCCATCGCCGCCGCCGTCGACGACGCCGACGGCCAGCTCCTCCTCCTCCTCCGAGTCCCCATCGATCAGCTTGGTGCCCCGCATGACAACGACTACTTGGTCTACCATCCGGATCCCCCGTCTCCGAAACTGGATCTGCTCCCCAACCCGCCTCCCCCTACCCTCGGTGACCACCAGCTTGCCATACTCAGCTGCGGCGACGACCGCTACGTCGTGGCCGCCCTCCACGTCTGGAGTGAGTTCACTTCCACGCTGCGCCTGTACAGATCTTCTTGTTCGTCTGGGAGTTGGACATCGGAGGAGGTGTCCGTGGAGGAGCCGGTGAGGGACAGGCTGTGCCCGATCCCGGACTCAGCCAAGAGGCAGCTGTACCACGTCACCACCAAGACCATCACGCTCGGAGGTGCGAAGGGCACCGTGGGCTGGGTTGATCTCTGGCGCGGCATCCTCCTCTGCGACGTGCTCGACGAAATGTCTCCAAGGAAGCTCCGCGACATGCCGCTGCCGTGGCCGGCCAAGGGCAATTGGAGGATGTACCTCAATGGAGATGTGTCCTTTTGTCGGGACATCGCCATCAGCCAACACAAGGATTCCATCAAGTATCTGGAGATGGAGATCGTTTCACCAAGAACGGTGACCACCACCATACCCACCTCCACCTCTGCAGATCCTACTTCATACCTTGAATGGGTTCGCCGCAGCAGAGAACCTCAGCCGACACGGCGACGCTCCGTGTTCCACCCTGGTTCGTGGAGAATCACTACATGGAGCATGCCTATCCCGGTCACTTCATGGGACGACTGGCGCCGTGACTGCACTGCTGAATCGCGTGAAGTCCATCTTGACACCAACCCAAGTCACCATTACGAGTTGCTTCATAGCCTCATGCTCAGCAACAGCGGTGATGAACACAGGGAGGAGGCTCAAGGTCAAGGGGCAACCTCTTCCTTGTCCCTAGGTCGCCTGCGTTTGTGTTACCCGGCCTTGAGTTGCATCGATGATGATGTTGTTTACCTCTTGGGCAACGCTGCTGGCAGGGGTGCTAAGACGGGAGGAATGATGGTCGCTGTTGACGTCAGGAACAAGGAGCTGCGAGGAGTGGCCAAGCTTGACCCCGAAAAGAACACCCTCTACTCCATGCGATGCTACCTTGCAACTGGGATCTCCAAACGCCTCAACACTACCACAGGTACTTAATTACCGCTCGTATTCCAGAACAAATGCAGCGCCATGTGCATATGGGTAATAAAATGCCATTTAAGGATCTAGGGCTGATCATTATAGTTCTTTGTTTATGATGGTCCGAATGACCAAACTAGGACTAGAATGTAGTAACTTTATTTAGGGTGATAGGCTTGATATGTTGATACAAGGGCAGAACAGTACCAAGAGTCCTTTTGGCAGAGTAGTACCAATACTCATTATGCAATATACTGTTTTGTGTGAGTTTCAGACAAACGTTGTGTTTCTAACTGTACTTGCAAAAACAAAACCTGAACTCTGTTAACAGAATAAAGACACCTCCACTAAAATGTCGACGACTAATGCATAAAATTATTTGCGTTCTTCGTGAAAATTCATAGCAGTAAATGTGTCGTCACTCTTGTTTCCTTGTCATTATGCGTGTAATATATTTTGCTAGCATGCATTTAAATATGAAGTAATTAATCAAAGTGCATTCGTACCATGTCAAAAGAACAAGAGAATAGAGCAAGTAATAATAAGGTAGTACTTGACCAAAGCATACTTGAAAAAGTAGTATATTGCTTTAGGTTTTGCTTTTCCTGTTGTACTCAATGTGGACAACATGAATGCTCTTCCTCTTGAGTACTAATTCTTGCTTCAAGGACATTTTATGAGATAATAGCTATTTTATTTGATGTAGACACAAGAGTTGGACGACCTGAGGAGGATGCAGAAGCCGCCGAGTAGAATGTGCGAACCCAGTGACATATATGCATCATACTGCAGCCTGCCTGGATGCAAATATTATCGTATCAGTGGTTTGTTGGCTTGAATGGGGGTTAAGGAGTTGTGCTGTTGCTGGGCATATATAGTTTTGTGACAAGAATCTTATCCAGGTTGCTTACTTTGGGTTGATGATAAAAGTAGGAGTAGACGTGAATAACATTAATATATGTTGGCTTATTTTTTGAGGGGATGTTGGCTTATTTATGTGGCACTAATTGTCTTTATGCCTTTGAGTTAAACACAAAACAATGATCCAACTCTTTGAACCTGTTTGTTTCAAGTAATGAGTTGATGAATTTTTCACCACTTGGAGTCCTCCCTCAAACTGGATCTGCTCCCCGCTGCCTCAAACTGTTTTTTTTTTTTGAACGAATGTGTTTTCTAAGTTCATTCTCAGAACAATGCCCGCCATCAGATTCATCGACTAGCATAGCAAGACAGTATAACTTTTTACCAAAGAAAACTGATTATATAGTATATATAGAATACTTGTCTTACACACAGTGACAATCCAACAATATCTATGCAACAGGAATAATATGTTAGTGTGCAGATCATACCCTCTCAACTCTGAACTCTTCTGCAGCAGGGAGTTCAAGATATATTTTGTACATAGCTGACAGTGCACCATTCCGGACAGCGGGACAGAGAAGCTCCAATCAAAAGTCTCCGATGTTCTGTCTTATCTTCTAGGTTTTCGGGCTTGGCTCAATTGGAAAGGCCCAATTGATTTTGGGCTTGAGTACAACGCAGCATAAGGCGCCACCGATTAGGCCCAAG